TAAGATAATAGAGAATTATCCCAATTTGATTAGAGACTTCAGTAATTTTTTGTCCTGAGTTTGGTGGTGTTAACACTCATAACACTAGTTGGTGCTAGATCAGCAGCACATCAATGCTGTGTAGCCCAGATAAAATGCAATTATAAACCAGGAGAATCCTAATTCAGAAGCACATTGAACACACACACACACACACACACACACACACACACTGCCTTGTACTAGTAAAATCTTTCATTCTTGGAAGTCAGAAACACTGCAAATTCCCTGGAGCTAGGAGTTCCCAGCAATCCTGAATGAAACAATTAGGGCATAGCCAGAAAGGAGAAAGTTGTTGCCTAAAGCCTAGAGAATTTCCCAAGGACCTATTTAAAATAACTGCTGTCTAAACCACAGCTACAAAACTCAGTACACTCACAAAGAATGGCTATTCTAGGTTTTATCTTAAGTATCTGTTGTTTCCTTGATTATCTCTAAAGACACATACATACTTATTTTAAGTACTTCAACAACAGAATAAAAACCTCATTCACATTGTAAAGTGCTTAACTCTCCCATGTTAATTGCAAATGGACTTTCATTCATAAGAAACAGCTCAATTCCATTTTTAAGTCATCACCACAAGGAAATCATACCTTGAGGTTATGGGCTAGTGTCCTAGTCCAAGGAAAAGAGAAAGAAGAAAAATAAGAAGGAAAAGGGAGTCTGACCATCAGACCATTTATAAAATGTGTGATTCTGTGAGGAAAGTGTTAATAGTGGCTCAAGATAAACAGGCTGGGGTAATGTAGTGCCGTGATGATGACAGTAGCTGATAGTGGAGTTTGGTGCTTTATCCTTCCTTTGATATCTAACAGACAACACAGGAAGAGCTGGTATGCCTAGAACATGGAGGATAACAAAGATAAAAGTGGTAGAATAGTGCATTTTACAGACCATAAGATTCAAACAAAAATTTTACTAATCGAGAACTAAAGGAACTAAATAAACGAAATGGACAAGAACTGCACTGAAATGCACACACCCAGCATAGTATATTTTCTTTTTCGTCTTAAGATGAGAGTCAGTCCCCAGTCTTCAACTTGCCTACTCTATAAAAAGTGCAAGAGAAAAACAGTCTATCCTAAGGACCTTTTCCTTTTAATCTCTTCTCCCTTCTTCTTTCAATATTAATTCATTTACAATCTCCTGTTTATCTTTATTGATCCTTTTTCTACCCAGTCTTTTTAATTTGGTTATTGTAAGTTCTCAGCAGGAATCCTATCTCCTGTTTGGTATCTTTGGGGACTTTAACTTGTCCTTTTCCCAGAAAGTTCTCTCATCGTGTCCTGTCCCCATCTCCCACCACCCACCCCCACGGCGCAGTCCTTTGTGTGCCCAGTAACAGCAGGCAAATTCCACAGGGAGTCATGCGGTCGATTCCACGACTATTCATCAGGTTGTTCACTTAAGCTTCCAAACAACCCCGTCTAAGCATCCTTGGCTAGTGTCCTGAGAACTTCGTATTAATTTTAGGAAATCTACAAGTTATCATTCTCAGTGGCGATTCCTTTTTAAATGGACAGACAGATGAACTCTGGAGGTGTGCATATGAAAACCAGAGCAGAACCTTGGGGATGGGAGGCATCTGGTGAGAAGAGAAGGAAGGATTTATGAGCATGGCCACTTAGCAGGGCAGCAGGAAAATTTACTTCCGAAGAAGCTATCTCTAATTCACAAAGCCTTGCTAATCACTTACCTCCCCACCTAGACCACACTCGCCTATGCTAGGCGCTCCCCTTCACTTCCAACACCCTCATCCCCAGAGCCTCTCTAAGATCCCAGGGAATACTGTCTGGAAACCCTAGGGTGTCTGAACGTCGCCCGGGGAATTGGGGCTACCTCAGAGCCGCCCCCTACTCTCCAAGTTTGGGAGAAAGAGTAACGGAGACTGGGGAGAGAATCCCTGAATTGCCTCCGAAAGCTTCCTAAGCTTCCTAAACCCTCTCCTCTTCCAGGAAAAGCTGAGCTGCCTGGCCTGAGCCAGCTATCACCACTGAGCTGGGCGAAGAGACCCAGGTAGGAGCTGGGCTTGGCCAGAAGTTTTGGGGCCCAGGTGACCCGAGAAAGTCCCCGGAGGGGCAGCCTTGGTTCTTTCTTCTCCGCTCCCTTTCAGTCAGCTTCTCGGGCTTGGAAAGCTAAGAGCTGCTGCTACTACTTCAAACTAGGGGGACAAGAAGGGAGCCAGGCGATCAGCTCCGGAGCCTCTCCTCCTCCCTTACCCTTCCCCAACTCCCGGCCACACTCTTCCCATCCCGGCTTTGCGCAAGGCCCCGGTCACTTATGTTAAAGCTCACAGTTGTTAAGTTAAAACATCAGAGTTATAAACTAGTCGGTTACGCCGGGGAGTTTCAGATTTGGCTTGAACAACCAGCTGGGTCCCACAGAGCTCTGGGATTTTCTTTTCTACATCCCCTGGTGGGAGGCAGACACGAAGGGGGGGTATGTATGAGTGCAGAGACATGCACACCCCGGGCCTGCCTCCGGCCGGGTACGCAGATTCGGGTGGGCTGTGTGTTATCTACAGCCCCTCAAGCGGCAGGCGAGGGGGATCGGTGCTTTAGAGTCCTTGGCAGTAATGGACACATTTCCTTAGCAGAGAGCCCTTCGGGGTCTGGTGTGCACAGAGACTCAGTGAAGATTCTGCAATCCCAGCCTTGGCACCTCGCGGGGAGCCTCTGCGCTTCATGCGCTTCGGGGTGCACTATGGCATGTCACACAGCTACCCGCACCGAGTCTCTCCAAACCTCTCTCTGTACAATATGCAACAACGTGGGCGTGCGGAGCTGAAAGGGCACAAGACACCCCAGGCTCCCAAATGTATGGAGACGGATCAGACGCGTGTACACACCCCATTCGTCCCTGATCCATCCGTGCCCATCTCGGAAGACAGATTAAACATAAATGATAATAATAATAATAGCTTCTTGACTAGTTGGGAAAGTGGAATTTAGAGTGGTTTCCAGTTGAGAGCAAAGAGGCAAATTGAGGAAGTCAGGAGAACTGGGGAGGAGGAGAGGAAGGAGGGAAGGGAGAAGCGAAGGGAGGTGGCCGCGGAGCCTGGCGGACCCCCTTACCTTGGGCGGCGGAGCCAGTGCCACTGGCGCTGAGCAGGGCCAGGGCAGGTAGCACCACCATTTGCAGCACGTATCCCAGTCCCAGTCCGCAGCGGGCCGCTGTCGCCCGCAGACCTTTCCTCATCGTAGACAGAGGTGTGCCGGGGGAGGGGGGAACAGAGAGACGCGCAAACAGCGGAAAGCCCCACTGGGCAGCAGCTGAATCCGTGCACCGAGAAGCAGTCCGAAGAAATAACGACAACCAAGCGCCACACTCCACTTTCTCCAAGGGCAGGGGCCAAAGCGGGAGGAGAGGAGACGCCGAGGAGGAGTTTGAAGGTCCCTCTTTCCCAATGCCTTCTAACTGACGTCTCCCGCGAGCGACTGCTCTGCCCCCACTTGGGAAGTCCAGGGAGGCGCTAGGCGGCCACCTCCGCTGCTCCCCCCAGCAGTAGGAGCAGCCGCTGCTCCGCCGCGCGCCGAGTGTGGACTGCTCTCCGGGTCCCCTCGCCTGTGAGGAACACACACAGGCACTGGGGGTGGGGGTGGGGGTGGGGGTTGAAGCGGGGGTGGGGGGAAGTGGGAGGAGGAGGGAACGGAGGGAGGAAGCTTGTGCACCGTCAGGCGCCCTGGTCTCCAATCTCAGTGTTCTCACGCCGGCAGAGAGATACCCTGGCTGTCGCTGCTGGGTGGCCAAGGAGGGTCACACCGTAGAGTAGGGCTCACGGGTACGCAAAGGAGCTCGCCAAGGAGGCGTAGAGGGCGCAGCCCAACTCCGCTGGGGAATAACCGGCTGTGGAGCACGCCCGCCTGCCTTATGTAAGCAAGGATTGGAAGGAGATCAGCGCCCAGGGCGGAAGGTGGAGACCGGCTGTGGGTTTGCCCGCTGGAGCGGAGGCTAGAGAGACCAGGGAAAGAAGCAGCGGCAGAGAGTGGCAGCGCGCCTGCCTCCCGCGGTGTGCCAGACCCGGACGCCGGGAGTGCACAGGGCGCGCCCCGGGCCACTTGGCTGTGTCCAGTGGAGCTCAGCCTGCCGCCTGCCACCTTCCTCACCGCGCCGGCAAAGCCTGAGCCGGATTCCCTGGGACTGGACTCGCTCTACTTTGCGGTTGATGAAGCCGGGTGCGGGCTCGAACTGAAGTCCTGCTTGGTTGGAGAAGAAGGCAAGAAGCTTCTGCAGTGCCCCAGCCGGGTGCTGTCTTGGGGTTGTCAGCGCCAGTCAGACTGCTTTATGTTCTAAGCGCATGTGACTCCTTTGCAGTGGAACAGAAACTAAAAGCTCGATGAAAACTCATTCCGCAACAGTGCTTTCTTTGCGTGCATCTTGGTGGCTGGCAAGGGTGGTGAGGCAATACCGGGAGAAACACTCTTAGGAAAAAAATGCACAACAAAATTCGTAGATACGCAAAGTGATGATGGAGCCTATAATATGTTTTTCAAATTTGTAGTAGTGTGTGTAAGAACTCGAGCTGCTAGGAATTTCTTTACCTTTCAACAGGAAATAATAGTCTATGTAACTGGGTTGTGAAGCCCTGTTGTCATGATAAAGGAGGAATGCAAGATTGGGTGGGTAAAAGAAAAAGAGACTAGACAAAAAGAAAGCGAATTTATTAAAAAGTCAACACATAGCATTTTGGGAAGAAGAAAACCACTTCCCAAGATTAGTGTATCTTTAAACTAACAAATAATACATCAGGGAATTTTATGTCCTTGGTGCCAAGGGGGCCATGTGTAAACACACATGCACACACACATGCAGGAAACTTGCAGTCTAATTTTGGCTGTGGTCATAACGACTCTATTACCCTGGGTAAGTCAGGTAACCTGTGAATGTCTCAGTTTCTTCATTTGTGAAATATTTTATTTGATAGTTTCAAAGTTTAAGTGCTAGCATTCCATGATTCTGCCTACACAGCCTCATCTAGGCAATAAGCCTGTCTTGGATGAATCAGAGATATCCAAAAAGGTGGTATTTGCCAAAGACATTGACAAAACTGGCCACTTCTTATTTCTATGGAGGCTCTCTCTGCCACACAAAACTCTTCTTTACTTTTTTCATCTTTTCCATACCAACACATCATGATATTTGATAAGAGGGTAGGTGCTGGCACCAGACAATCTGCCTTCAGTTCTTAGCATTTCTCACTACTTGACTGATATTGAACTTTAAAGCTAGGTGCATCTCTTCCCTAATTTGTAAGATGGGTCTAGTAGCAGGAAGTATCTCACAGGGGTTTTTGAAGATTATGTAAGTTAAACTCATGTAAAATGCCTGACACCAAAATTGTTAATTGCTGTTCTTACCATTGATGAAAAATTCCCATTAGCCTTATGCTAGCTAGACTAGTGCTGTTCAACAGAAATTTCTGCAATGAAGAACATGTTCATATCTGTGCTTTCTGAGGTGGTAGTTATCAGATACATGTGGCTACGTGCAATGTGGCTAGTGTGAATTGGAAACTTTTATTTAATTTTAATTTAAATGGTCACATGTGGCTGGTGGCTACCATATTCTATGGTATAGTGAGGTCACTAATAACTTGTCAATTACTTTGAGAATGGCTTCATGAGAAGGGATTATTACATTTATATGTACAATTTTATGAAGAAGGGCAACAGCTTAAATACTAAGAAATCTCCACATATACTCGCCATCACATCAACAACATACAAAAGTTGTTTATTTACAATTTTATTGCCTGTCTTCTTAAATTAGAATTTAACTCTTTTAAGACAGAGATTTTCCCTTTGTCCATGGCTCCTAAACTGAGCCTGATATATAGTTGGTACTCAATCAATATTGATTGATTTCCTGCCAAAAATCCTCAATAGAAAGAGTCCTCAAAGTCTAGCACAGCTAAAGAAAGTTGAAATTGTCACCTACTCCTGTTTGGGGCATTGAGTTACTCAGTGACAGATACCACGTGCAATTAGTTGCTTAAAAGAAAGAATAAGAGATTAAGAGAGGAAATGTAGTTAAATACTGAAATTCAGCCTAAAGAGGGCAGGAGAATGGTTTGAGAAGTGGTATAGAGAGATGAGGTGGAAAGGGAGAGCAGAGTGAGAGTATGAGACCAAGGACAGGAAAAACACCAGCAACAGATCAGCTTTACGCAGCAGGCAAGTTTCCTGCTATCTACAGGTACAGATGGAACTTGCCTTGTGGATTAACATCCTGCCTACTTTCGTTGATCAGCACATTTTTTCCTCACAAGAGAAATAATGCAGTGTTTTATAGGCTCCTGAACGTAGGCTTACTAATGTCACCGAGATCTGGGTTCAAATGTCACTGCTTAGGGAAGTTTTCACTGACCAAGTTACCTAAAATAGCAACAATATATAATCCTAAATGGCATTTACCTGCTTTGATTTTCCATATAACACCTACTTTATACATGTGCACATATGTGTGCATATATATGTATATATATGTATGTATACTCTCCAATAAAATGTATCCTTCTCAAGGGGAGGAATTTTTTTCGAATACATTCAGTGCTCTGTACCTAGAACCTGGAACAATACCTGGTACATAATATGTGAACGATAAATACTTATTGAATATTGAAAGGACTGAATAAGAGCCAATGGATTTAAAATTGAGCTCAATCCTTCATTAAACTTTCTTCCTCTCTTCACCCTCCCAAGTTATCAAATTATGAGTAGGCTTTTCTAGTTGTTGAACAAAATCAAGTTTTGACAAAATTTCCCCCAAAATGTGTTGGAATATGACTTTTTAGGGTTGGAATACTGCAGGTGTTTAAGGGACGGACATGAAATTCAACTCATCTTGAAAAATGAAAAGCTTCATTTAAATCCATATACCAGGGCTTTCTTTTTCTTGGCTGCAGTGAGTGGAGAATTAACTCTGGGATAATAAATCCCAGTGACAGGTGCTAATGGGAATTAAGCATGCAAATCCCCTGCATATCCCTCCAGAAATCTACACCAAGAAAAGTATGCTATTTAGCATGTAGGCTGCTTGGTCATAATTTCATTTACTCGGAGCTAGTATGGAAAAGTTTCCAGTTTAAAGCTTAAATCAAAAACAACTGATCATATATTTTAATTACAGAAAGTTTCTTTTATCTTTCTCCTTATATGTTTGATTCCTCACTTTCTATATTTTTCTTGTAATTTTTAAAATAAATCTTCATACTAGGGATATTATTAACTGGATTAACTGGAAACATAGGAGAAAGAAGATTTTAGTGAATAAATATGATGGTGATGAGGAAAATTCCTTCCCTAAGAGTTGGGAGTGCAGAGGCCTCACATAATGTTACTGATAGACATAAACTAAGGAGAGCCAGATGGCCTAGATTCAGTTGATTCAATCCTCCTTCGCTGCCTTAGCCCAGAGAGAGATTTAACTTGTCATAAACCAAAACTCTCTAGGGCTTTATGCTTTTTATTAATTGTATTAGATAAGACCCATTTGGTTGCAAGTGAAAGAAACCCAACTGAAACCAGCTTAAGCAAAAAGATAATTTATCACTGTACATAACTCAAAAACCATGGATGAGAAATATCCATAGTAATAACAGATTCCATTTACTGTCCCTTACTGTGTGTCAGGAACTTTCTAAACTTTTTACATGTGCTATCTCATTTAATCATCATAACAGAAAGAAAGTGCCATTATTGTATCCACTTCATAAATGAGGAAACAGAGTGCTTAAGTAACTTTGCCCAAGGTCACACACAGTATTTACTAGTGACCATCTGATTTGAGGGATCATGTTCTAGACCCATGAATTTAAATATCACCTGGTTATGCTCTCCTCTGTTTTGGTTTCATTCACAGGCTTACAATCTCCACCCTGGGATTCCTGGCAGCTCCAGATTTACATTGTCTTTATCATTATCAAGCTCAACACATACTCATTTCCAAATGGCAAAGAATAAATACAGAATTATGGCCATAACTGTCTGTGGCCATCTTGGGCCACATACTCATAACTGAGGCAGTTTCCATGGCCAGATGTTTGGCATATACTGAATGGTATGGCCTGGGTCATGTGCCAATATTTGCCAACTGGAAACTTGGATTGAAAATGGGAATAAAGGATTCCCCAAAAGGATACCCTGGAAAATGATTAATACAAAAAAATAGATGCCAAAGAGAATGGATGTAGGGCAGACAAAATAACAGATCCCTAATCTGTGATATATGAAGCAGGATGAATTCTCCAGGCTTTTGTGCCATAACACATCACTATAGCAAAAGAAGAGCATTGGTTAAGAAGGGCTGAAGAGCAGCCAGCCCCTTGTAGATTGCTTTTCCCATTAACTGACTGGAAGAATTGAGTCCAATTTGATTCAATGCAGAAAACTTTCACTTCCCCCTATTATATTGTTGTTCCACTCTAGGATCCCTAGAGAAAAAAACATATATGTGAGGTATAGTCCTTATGCAGCAATGGCTCACAGTCTAACCGAATATAAATGAATAAACAAAAGGATTTTAAATAAAGACAAAAATGTTGTGGAAATATAAGGATATAAGACATTTTTAACTATGAGACCCTGGGAAGGAGATTCCCTAAATGTAAGACACATACTTGTGTATCAGTAATACTATGCTTCACACAATGGATGCATTTATTGCTAACGACAAGGAACCTAAGAGTATGCAGTACATGGCCACTGTGGAAGCCCAGTTATGCTCTTTTCATGGCTTGGCTCCATGCTCCAGAATGTACAGCTTTCATTCTCACAGTTGCTTGGTAGCTTTTCCACTTCTAGAAGTCATGTTTCATTTTTCAGGCAGAAGAAGATGGAACAGGCCTGAAGGGCTGCAGCTAGTCTAGATGTCTTCCAAATAACTTTTCTGGAAACCCTTAGTCCACCAAGTAGGTTCTATTTCCTTGATGGTCTGTCAAATGATCCCCTAGGGCCAATTGCGAGTAGTGGGTAAGGAAAAGGGTGCTGTGCTTGTTTGCCAGATCATCTGCATTGGACACAACTTTGTTGGAGAGGAGGAAAAAGAGGAAGGCGCAGAAAAAAAGGCATTAAGACAGGACATTTGAGGGTATATTTGGAGAACTATATTGTTGGCTGAGAAACTAAAAGGAGAAAAGGAAGGAAAGTGTTTTCTTCTTCTTCTTCTTTTTTTAGAGATAGAGTCTTGCTATGTTGTCCAGGCTGAAGCACTGACTATTCACAGGTGCAATTATAGGGCATGACAGCCTTGAACTCTTAGCCTCAAGTGATCCTCCTGCCTCAGCCTCTGAAGTCTCCAGAATAGGGGAGGGGTGAGTGTGTTTTCTATCACATTGGGAAATAGAAAGGACTCCATTATTCAGTTCACTAAAGTGTATTTACTGAACAT